CCTGTACCCCAGTTCTGTATGAATAAATAATCTTTAAAAAAAAAAAAAAAGATGAAATCTTGATTCCCCTCAAGTTCTTAGACCCAGTCAACCCTGGAGTCACCTCTATCCCTCCTTTCCCTTGTTTCGGTTAGATAAATTAATTAGATAAATATAAATTAGATAAAATAATAAATTCCTCTTTTTTGTTTATGCTATTTAAATTCTATTACTTGCAACCTAAGAAAGGTCATAACGCAGAGTTCCACCCAAAAAAATTTCTTAGAAGGCAGTCATTAGCAAAATGCTAACACCAAAGGCAGCACTCCAGGTTGAATTGTCTCATAAAGCCACTATTTTGAAGGCTGAGTGTACTGCAGCTAGGCTATTCAAAGAGTCAACGTCAAAGGAGGACATAAGGGGGAAGCCCTGACAAGGGAAGACACACAGAGCTCTCAGCCATGTGAGATACAGTGAGAAGGCAGCTAGCTATCTGCGATCCAGGTAAGAGTTCTCAATAGAATCTCACCTGGCTGGCACCAGGGTTGGACCTCGCACCTCCAGAACTGTAAGAATGTAGATTTCTGCTGTTGAAGCTACCCAGGCTATGATATTTTGTTTTGGCAGCCCAAGCTGATGAATTGCAGTCACCCTAGTGCCAGTTACTACCAATTTCTTCCTAAGATGAAGCAATCCCTGATAAGCAAAATTAGTCACATACTGACCTGTTATGATCCATTACCACTTTTAAAAAAAGTTTATTTATTTATGCATACAAGAGCTGGGTACAGGCCACAGGTACAGGCGGTGAGAGGATTCACCAAAGACAGATCTACTGCAATACACTGCTGAGGGGAGCAGTGGGCGAGACAGAGAAGGTCTGCCATGCCATGTGGGTCAAACTCGTACTGTAAGGGCTGTAGATAGCTTCATCGTGCTATGCTTAAACCTGTTGTGCTGCCAGGGAGAGCCCTCCCACTCCCATTCCTGATTTTAGTTTACATTAGAATAATTTTCATTTTTTTTAATGTTTATATATAACAAAAAGGATCAGCCTAGCTATTCACTGAATCTCATCAATTCAGAACAATTCTAAGAATACAGAAAAAAGGCTTTTATTGAGATTAAGTAGCAAGAATCGTATTTCCAGTTGTGGCAGAAAGCTGATAAATCACATAACCAAATTCAAGTACTAACCTGTTTAATTTTGCATACTTTATTCTTTGTACCAATATGTTAAGAAAGTAAAATCTTCTTAGGTAATAATTTATAATATTTGTAAGTGACACACAAAATGTTGTTTCACGAGGAATATTCAGTAATCCCTTTAAAAGCAATTTTAATCCTCATTTTAACCAAAGTGCAATAATAACTTAATAAGCTAAAGACTCACACAAAACCTGTATATCTTGAACTACAAAGGAGGTTTCCATAGCCACATAGAGTTTTAGTCAAGTACACATTTCCACACTGAACAAGTACTAACAAATGTTAATAAAAAATTACCCCACATACTTATCCTGCCATCAGCTTTTTAAGCAGTATCATTCCTGATTCTGAAAACATTTACTTCTAGAAGCACTAATCTGACCTGGGAAAATGAGTTATCCTAATTATTTTATAGACCCAGAAGATTTTAAATCAAAGAAGTCTTCCAACATGGAAGCATTCACATGAAACTTAGTTTCTCCAAAAATTCTTCATCTAAACAAAAGAGTATTAAAAACACTACCTTGTAACAAAACAGAAGACTAAGATAACTTGTTTTCTTATATTATCATCTCAAAAAAATAAACCAGTTCACAGTCTTTTAATTACATCATACTACTTTAGTCTCAAAACCCTAGAATATATGAAAAACATGTTTCAGCAATCATAAAGTCAAGGTGCCATTTAGACCTTACACGTCAAAGAACTACTATAGCCTAAAATGGCACAAAAATACCTTATGCACAAATACTACTTTACAGTTTTAGATAGTCAAAAGTCAAAGAGAACTGTACAGTTTGAAAATTACTTCAATTTATGTGTGGTCAATAAGACCTAGTCAGTAATTCAAGTCTGGTATTCCAAAGGTAGGCAAGTAAAGCCTCAAATATCGCTCTAAAATTAAAGACATGAACATAAATGCTAAAACTTTGTTTTTCTCTATCTTTCATTTACATGGCTAAATAGCAGAACCTTACTGTGGAAAAGAGTTATTATAAAGGGTTTCCCTAGAAGGTTAATGACATTTCAGAGAGTACAAACTGTATCAAGAGCCATAGTTTGCTTCATCAAATGCTTTTCTAGCTCGTTTCAATTCTTCATTCATTGTAAGCAAGTCTTTAACCCGAGCAAACTTTCTTGGGTCCTTTCGAATCAAAAAGACGATATCTTCAACTTGTACTCGACCTTGTCTTCCAATTGACATTGCCTTGTGAGTCTATTACCAAAAGAAAAAAAATTTCAATTAACTTTAAAACTGTCTTACTCTTAAATTGCATTTATTTAATATTGGTGAGTTTGAAAGTCGTCTAGTTACTATAGCTATGCATTTGTGAATTATCTTTTTATTAATATCTTATTTCACTTTCTACTGTGTTATTAGCAATGTTTCTCTTAATGTTTTTAGATATTTTTAATACCAAAAATATTAAAACAATAAAGTTTATTGATGTTCCTTTTTCTTTTTTTATAAATGTAGGCTTTAACTGACTTGCATAAAATCATGTATAATTCTTTGAAGACAATTTATACATTGAGTACATTTCAATAACTGATAAAAATGAGTAATTTTCTTAAAATCATTTAAATCTGATCCACTATCATTCATTATATATTCATTCTATGTAAAAACAAAGGTTCATCAGAGAATTACATCTAATGACTAAAAAAAAATTTAATAAGGCATTGTGTAAAAAAGTTTGAGCACATTTACTCAGTGAGTATTATGAAGCCATTAAGCAATGACATGGGAAAAATGTTCTAGATTTGAAAAAGCAGAATTTAATACTGCACAATTTTCAATTTTATAGTTGAAAAATGTACAAAAAGACAAAAGAATGTTCACCAAAATGTTAGCACTAGTAGTCTCTATGTGGAAAGAATGCAATTTATTTTCTCCCTGTCCTCTTTTATAATCTCTAAAATTAATAATTACTTTATAAGCAGAAAAAACTCTTCAAAATGTGTAATTTCCAATCCTGTAATTTTACTTCTATTATTCTGTATAAAAGATAATTTAAAACACAAGATTAAAACTTCAGAAGAACTGAATACAACTAAATGCAGTAATTCCATCTTTGTGAATAAATCCAAAGGGGAACACTTTATGAATATGGTCATTCAAAATTATCCATTTAGTTAAAAATAAAATTATCTGTGAATAACATATAATATGGGAATTAAGTATACTAGAAAATTTGAATTTTATGTAGCAACTGAAATAATATGATTAGAAATAGCAAATATAAATTTCAAGTAAAATTAATGTTTACTATAACCACCATTATGTAAAGCACCATACACCTTTAAATGCTGTAAGCGGGGTAATGGAGAGATCATGGAATTATGATAGTATTTTAAATTTTGTTCAAGGATTTTAGAATTAGATCCTTCTAAGTAAAACTCAGGAGGAAAGGAAAGGATATGTGTGTGTGTATTGTGCATATATAAACATACATATGTGTATAAAGATACACACTCTTTATATTCATATTTCTATCCTTAATAATAATTACCAGATACTTCTATAAAACAGGCACTTAAGCAGAGAGCTTATTTTTTAAAAAGGTCATACTTCTACTCTTATTTAAGTTACAATTTCAAATCTATTCAAGACCAGTTACAAAAGAATCTTACCATTTCTGTAATGAACTCTATGACAAGGTCTTCAAGAATATCCACTGACTCAGTATAAGGATTCTGGTCATCCCCAAACCCATACATCATGCAGCGTACTGTGAAAGAGCAATTATTTTTGCTTACTTGAGCAAATTAAACAAACTGACCAATACTTTTTTAAAAGTAGAATTCAATCAAATTATAGAAGACATTGGCATATACATATATTTACATTGTAGCTGTTCCCAACTATGGATTTAGTATAAAATGTTTATTAAACCTTGACAATCTCATAACTAACAAAATTCCCCTTCCCTTCCAGTTACTAAACCTTGTTGTTAATAATCTTTCTCTGGTCTCTATTATTTACCAAAAGCAACCCAGCTCTCTTTATGGGGAAGGAGCAGTGAGGCATTGTAAAAGAGATGGCCAAATCCTTTCTGATATTATCATAGAGAAAAGGACAGGAAAGAAAGTGTTCTAAGTGTCTTTATAGGAAGTCACAAGGTATCAAAAAGAGAAAACAGAGTGCTTACTACCCATCTCCTACATCAATGCAAGTACAGGATTCATCTGAACCAAGAAAAATCCCAATAAACAACCTAAAGCAACTTGAAAATGAGGGCCACATAAGACCCAAAGTCAGTGAAAGGAAGTAAATTAATAAAAACAAACAATAAGAAATGGATAAATTTCTAGGTCAATTTCTACGTTACCAAGACTAACCCAGACAGAAACAGAGGAATTGAATAAATCAATCACAAGCATGGAAATTGAAAACAGTAATAAAATCTTCTGAAAAACAAAAGCCTAGGACCAGAAGGCATTATAAATGAATTCTGTCAAATTTTTAGTTTTTTTTTTTTTAAAGATTTATTTATTTATTCATATAGAACTGGGGTACAGGCCAGAGATGCGGAGGGTGAGAGGATTCACCAGAGACAGAGTGGGGAGCAGAACAGGCAGATCGACGAAGTACACTGCTAAGGGGAGCAGCAGGCGGGCCAGGAGAGGTCTGCCGCGCCATGTGGACTCCTCCGGCGCAGGCGGGGATGGAACTCATGAGGAAGTGGCTTAAGCTTCGTAGTGCAGTGCTTTACCCCGCTGCGCCACCAGGGAGGGCCCCAAATTTTTAGTTTTTTAATTTAATTTTTATATAGAAGAATTGGGGTATAGACCACAGGTGTGGAGACAGGGTGAGAAAATTCAACCCATCACCCCAAAGACTGAGTGGGTTGTGGAACAGCAGATCTACTGAAATACACTGCTGAGGGGAGTAGCAGGTGAAACAGGAGAGGTCTGCTGTGCCACATGAGTTAGCTCCCTGGCCCAGGATAGAACTCATGGTAGCACTAAATCTTAACCCCTACGCCACCAGGAAGGCCCCATTCTGTCAAATTTTGAAGAACCAATACCTAAACTGTTCAAATTATTTCTTAAGATACTAGAAGGAATGCTCTCTAATACAATTTAGGATTCCCAACATTACCTGAAGTACTAAAACTAAAGAAAGCACAAGAAAAAGTTATAGGCCAATGTCCTTGATGAACGTCAATGCAAAAATTTTCATCAAAATATTAGCAAATCAATTCAACAGTATATCACAAAGATTCTATACCACGATCAGTTGGGATTCTCTCAGGGACTCAAGGATGGTTTAATATGCATAGGTCAATTAATGTAATAAATCAAGTCAACAAAATGAAAGATAAAAATCAGATATCCAATAGTTTCTGAAGAGAACATTTGCTAGATTCAACACCCATTTTTGATAAAAATTCTAAACAAGATGGAAGCAGAAAGAACCGACCTCAATATTGTAAATGCTATATATCACAAACCTATAGTCATCTTTAATAGTCTATGGTGAAAAACTGAAAGCTTTACCTATACGAAAGATCCAGCACTTCTGTATAACTTTACACTAAATGTTCTGACCAGAGCTAGAAAAACAGGAAACGAAGGGTATCCAAGTAGAAAAGAAGTGATATTATCACTATTTGTATGTAATGTGTTATATTACAGAAGATCTTGAGTTCTTCAACAAGTTATTAGAAACAATAAATACAGCAAAATGGCAGGTCACAAAGTCAACATACAAAAACAATCTATAATTTCTTATATACAAACAATGAACAAAAGCAAAAGAAATGATAAAAATAACTCCATTTATAACTGATTCAAAAAAGAAATTTTTGGGAATCAACCTAACAGTGGAGGTAAAAGACTTGTACTACAAGATGTTATTAAAGGACGTAGAGACATAAAGAGATGGGAGAGTATCTCATAATCATAGATGGGGACAATCAACATCCTCAAAACAAAATCCGCCTAAATGATACACAAATTTCATGCAATCCCCACCAGAATACCAGCAACATTTTTTAAATAAGCAGAACAAAAAAACAGTGGAATTTGTATGGTACAATGCCTCAAACTGCAAAAGTAAACATAAGAAAAAAAGAGAAATGGATATCATCAGATTATTCAATTTCAAACTTTACTATAAAGTACCAACATAAAAAACAATATGATACTGGCACAAAAATAGATACATTGACCAATGGAACAGAATTAAAAGCCCTGAAACAAATCCATGTACATATACCAACACCTAATCTATGATAAAGAATCCATAACCATCAAAGGGGGGGAAAGACAGTATCTTTGTTAATGGGGCTGGGAAAATTTCAGTATGGATAAATAAATAAATCTTAAAAAAAAAAAAAAAGAATGGCATTGAATTACTCATGAGTGTACGCACTCACACACAAGCTCCAGATTAAAGATTTAGATAAGGGCAGACAACATAGAAGAAAACATTTGCAATATGTTCTATATCAACAATCAAGATATCTTTATTGACTCAACTCATATGGCAAGGGAATTAAAAACCAAAACAGTTGAGAATACCAAGTTTAAAAGCTTCTATACAGCCAATGAAAACAGAAAAACATTAAATAGACACCCTACTAAATGGGAGAAAATATTCATACAATACGTAACTGACAAAGGATTAATATCCAAAACATATAAAAGCTTCATACAATTGAACAATAAAAAACAAATAAAAATTCACCAAAGAGGATATCCAGAAGGCCAAAAGGTCATATGAAAAAATGTTTATCATTTCTAATAAGAGAGATATAGGTTAAAACTACAATGAGATACCACTTACAACCCATGAGAACGGCACATATTAAGAAGACCATCAACATCAAGGGTGAGTGAGGTTGCAGAGAAGAAAGAACTTTGAACAGTAATGGTGGGAATGTGAGTCACTGAAGAAAGCAATCTGAATTTACCACAACTAAAAATGCAAATACAGTATACTGTTTACAAATGGAGTAAACAGCATCGAGATCATGAATAGGCGGCCAGTTTCAAGAGTATTTAGGAACTGTTTACTGACCCAGCATCAGTAAAACAGGTGTCGCCTCATTTGTCTGTGCTCGGCTGTAACACAGGCAAAAGACCCAGGCCTCGGAGGCAGAGAATGCACATTCTCATGGTGCTTTCCCGGGGTCGACCTGGATCACCAGTAGCAGCAGCTACTGTCCACTAAACCCTGCCCACCTAGCAGCTGGAACAGAGACCCAGTACATTATGATCTCTGCCACTCAATGCCCCTCACTGCTTGCTACCATCCTTTCATATTCACTCTCTTATTCCAAAGCCTCAACTTAAATCCTACCCCAAGCATCCCTCTCAGGATCCACCCTAACCTTGGGGTGCAGTCAAATAGCCTCTGTTCCTGCTACTGCAAAGATGAGAGACAGGAAAAATAATGGAGGTAGGTGATTCTACCCTGAATTAAAACAGTGATCAAATTTTCTCAATTTAAAAAATGTATGTAGATATGTGTATGTGTATATACGCACGTGTATAGAGAGGTAGGCACATTCAGATGCACATGTATACAAAACATATAAATGGGGTTATGACCACTACAATCTACAATTCACAAGTGAAACAATTTTATCAAGTCTGAAAAGATTGTCCTCACAAAGAAACATTCAGAACAAGAAACCAACTTTGAGTGGACATGTCCAAAAGCTTTTATCTATTGTATCATTGTCAAATACTACTTACATTCTTTAGAAAAAAGTCTCTTTCTTTTACCCTGTCCACCTTCTGCACCTCCTCCAATTTCTTCATTCTCCTCCTCAAACTAGAAGTTAAAACGTACAGAAATGTCAAACACTGCATGTTTTTAAAATAATTATCATTACTTTTTTCCATTTCCATTTAATACACCAACAACGCTAAAGCCAGCAACAACAACAACAACAACAAAAAACACACGTGAAATCTTGGTGTTTTGAGCCTTAAAGACTCTTGTCCAACTTCCAAGACGCTCAGGAATGGCTTCTACGGTGTCCCAAACTAATCACCCTTCAGCCAGTGACCATCCGTTTCCGTTCTTTTTTTTTTTCCTTTTTCTTATTTAATCCAAATTGCTAAGCAATTTGAATAACAAGCTGGTATTATTATTCAGAGTTAGCCAAACTGGAGCCTCCCTGGTGGCCTGGGGTAGGGTCTCAGCACTACCACCACCAAGGCCTGAGTTCCATCCCCTGCCAGGGAACTGACTCACATGGCATGGCAGGCCTCTCCAGTGTCACCGCTGCTCCCTAAGCAGGGACATCAGTAGCTCTGCGCACTCTGCGATGAATCCTCTCAGCACCCCCTTCTACCCTCCCCCTTCTGACCTACACTCCAGTTATTCTATGCAAAAATAACTAAGACCTTTTTAGAAATAGTTAGCAAAATAGTATTTACTATCCACTGCTTCTGCAGCGCTAGGAACCTTCCCTAAGCCTTTAACCCACTGAGTGGCGAGAAAGCCGTGGCTCCAAGTTTCTAAACCTTGGTCACAGGGAACAGTTTCAACCGCATCCTCCCTGGTTTTCGGTTATTTCCCCCGGTACAGTTGTTAACAAATAAACTTCTGGTTCATAAGGCGCGCTAAGAAGTACTAGCTTTGACCTCTGATGGTTCTCCAGCAGTTCGAGACTGGCAAAGGGCGAGGGGCCACCTTCCTACTCTGCCTTTACGTACTAAAACGATACCCCTGAAGGGAAAGGCTAGCGCGGCGCCAATACTCCGAATCCTCTCGGCTGAATTCACCCACGAAAACTGACTCGAGTCTGAACTCAGCCTCCGCTAACTGTGCCCGAGGAAGTGAAGAAGAGAATGAGACTCACGGTGGGGTCTTCTTCCTCATCTGCCATCCCACCAAAGACCTAACCTACTGAGTCCACCGCCTCACTCCGATGGCTTTTACTACTTCCGTTGCCTCACTTCCGGCGATACCGGGGCGGGGCCTTGTCAGGGGCGGGGCCTAGCTGGGGACTCCCTATAGGGGGAGTAGAGTATGTGCCTCCCCCTAGCGGCGAGACCTGGACGCTGCTTCAAAAGAGAGGGTTGTTTTTGCTCTGCAATCCCAACGAAGGAATTAAAAATTAGCAAAGAGGAGAAAGTCCTGAGCTAAACGGCATGAATCTTGTTGTCACCTTAAATTTGCCTCCACTTACCATCAAATCATCATTCGTGATTTGGAACTGCGAAGCTATGGCTCATTGGAGAACTAGCCAAAAGTCCTTTGTCTGCATGAGGGGGGCATTTCGAAAATCACGACAACTTACATTTCCCCTATTATTTATTACCAAGTATTGAATTGGTTCCGTGCTACTGGCTCCCAAAGGTGCCACCCTTGGAATGTGAAGTTCTGTGGGAGTTTGTGATCAAGGGGATGATTGAGATTAACAATGGCATTAGAACCTACAGGCTAGGGATCTGAGATGGTCTGCAATGCTAGAGATGATATCACAGAACGGAAAATTATCCCCAAATATACTATTTCTGAATGTTCTATACATTCATGTGAGTGGGAAAATGGCTATATCTGAGCTTGCAGTCATTAACTGTCAGGATGAGGCACCAGCCAAACCCAGGCATTGTGAAGAAGCAGATGCTCCAAGAAGAAGCAGATATTCAGGAGAGATAACCCTAGGGCTTGTTTATCACCACATTGTTTGTCTCCAAGGGTTAACACAATCCAGGGCAGAAAAACAAGTTTCTTGTCAAAAATTTCCATCCTGCTGTTTCTCCCCCCTACCTAGGCCTGTAAAAACCCTTCTTATTCTTCCCTCAGCCAACTCTGCTCCCCCTCAGTTCAAGGCCTCACCAGGCAACTGGCCCTTAAAAAAACCTCTCCTATCTGAGACAGTGTGGTTTTCCCGGACCTTTCATTAACATAAACATAGTATATTTTCCTATATTACCTTGGAATTACATTTAGAACATTATATATTATTTTATAGTTAATGAGGGTAGTTAGCTGTATTTGTTACTTATTGCAGTATAACAAATTATCCTGAAACACTAAACATTTATCAGCTTCTGTGAATCAGAAATCTGGGTACAATTTAGCCGGCTGCTTTTGATTCAAGGTCTCTTATGCTGCAATCAGGATGTTGGATGGGGCTGTAGTCTCATCTAAAGTATTGATGGGGGGAAATTAACTTCCAAAGTCATTCACATGGTTGTCAGCAGGATTCAGTTCCTTGAAGATGTCATTTTGATGGGATGTAGTGAGTGGAGTCTTCAGGTTACCTTTGCAAAAAGTTTTGGCAGTTTTACCAGAGAGATTAAAACGTTTGCACAGATAAGAGCAGGCAAAGGTTACATTTTTAGGCTTATTGAAAAAAAGGAAAGGAGAAGAAGATATTTCACACCCAAACAGAAAGAGCTGCATTTGCCAATGCAGAAAATGTACTGAGATAGTATCCTTCTTTTGGAGAGGAGTCTGTTCTTTTGTGGAATTGTTATTTATTGTTAGATTAATTAGGGTGGGAGTAGGTTGACTTGTAAGGACCAGGGACTTTTATAGTATAAGGAGGGACTTGAGTTCTATAGTGATTTATGCTTTGGAAGCTTAAGATGGGAGAAGAGAAACCAAGAAGACTCCCTTGAACAAGTGAGATTTGCAGGGACCTGGTAGATGAATGGGGTTCCCTAGTGAAGGAGGAAGAGTGTGTTGGGAGGAGGAAGTGTGTGCTGTCCCCCAATATTTACCTCTATTTTCCCCATGTGTTTGCCTCTGACCACTCTCCTTTCCCACTAAAACACCTTTCTTTTTTATTGAAATGCTTACCAGCCTATCAGTCTCAGCTAAAATGGCTTCTGCCCCATAATGCCTTCCCTGAGCCCTCCGAAAAAGCACTTTCTCCATTGCACCCCCACCGCACTTCATTTTCATTTTCCTTCCATACATTTCACTGTCTACTGCATTTGCTGGTTATTTATATATTTATATATACAGCTTATCTTGTCTACTAAATCTCTAACTTATTAAGAACAGAGTCTGTTCCTTATTCATCTTGCTCTCCCAAAGGCTAGCTCATTTCTTAGACTTAGAAATCCTGGAACAAATATTTGTAGCATAAATTAATGCCTGTTTGACATCCCTTTTCAAATATGTTGTAATTCAAATGAAGCTATTATTGCAAGCTGTGCCTCTGGGACTGAACTTTCTCTTTGGTGAAACCAGAATGCTATAGTCATGGCCCGATTGACTGATGAGCATTCACCACAGTGAATGCAAACCTAACAAACAGGCCACTGTTCTTGACTGACAGGCATTTGGCAACAACTGTGATCAGCCAGTGGAGGCTGAAATGAACCAAGGAAGGGCGGGCTGAATGGAGTCTGAAGCCAGTAGGGCTCTTTTATTCCTTGTAGTTGGGCTGCAAGAGCGAGTGACCCATTCTTTGGCCTTAGGTGAGGCTATGGCACCTTCTAGGATGACAGAAACACTAATGCTTGGAACAAAATAAGCAAAGGTCAGTATCAGTGGACAGCATCCTAATCTGAGCAGTGTGATAACAAAGGGAAAGAAGGGACTCTATCTAGCTATGTGATTGCAACCATGTGCTTCCTTTGGGCCTTAGATTTCTCATTTAAAACATATTATGGAGTATGTTAAGTGAAATGAGTCAGAAGAAGAAAGGAAAGGTTTCGCCCCTATGTAGATAATGGAGAAACAAGCTAAAGGGTCATACAAAACCAAACCATAAACAATTCCTAGAAATCTGACTGTAAAGTTGAGGCAACCAAACAGGGAAAGGGAGGGCAGAAAATAGATGCACCAAGTGGTGGATTCTGGGAGTCTTGGTGGTAGGTGTGGTCTGGTGACATACATCCTCTACCACTGAATTATATACGGTGATGTAAACCAGTGTTACCTCAGTAAAAAGTAAAACATATGCTGCAAAACAGTTGATGATCAAAGGTAATGTCTTTAAAGACACTATGCGTGTGCTCTAATAAAATGTGTTTATCTGTCTTCCTCAATATCATTTGTTCTCTGATGGCAAGAACTCCTTCTTGACCCTACTTACTTCTACAAAATTTACAAATAAACAGCAAAACATTAACACTTATGGAGCACTTCATTCCATATTTTGTTATAAATAATAATTTATTTAATCTTTCAACACCCCTAGAAATTGTTGTAATCCAATTTTATAGAGAAATATAATCTTTAAAAATATAAAATACCTGGCACTACTTATTTTGAAATAAAAATTTGATGTGATTCATTTCATTCAATAAAAATGATCAAATATTTTATGAAATCTGGATAAAATATGATGAGGAAAAAAGAAAAAGGTCATAAATTTAAGAGTGGGATGAAAGGGTAGGAAGATGAGAAAGGGAATAGAGAAACCAAAAAGGATGATCTCAGCAAAATAAACGTTTAAGTAAGACATTGTATTAGCCAAAGTAGTCAGTATTCCCAGATCTTCAGTTGTGATTTATCCTTGAGCTCAGAGAGTGACAGAGGGAGAAGGATGTTTTTCAGAACATTATGGAAATTGGAAAGGTTTCCAGCCAGTGAATAATGAGGAGATAAAGGCAGACTCATTCCCATCTTGACAGTCTGCTAACCACTCCTGATTTACTCTCCAAAAGATTAAATAGCATGAGCAAAAAGTAAGAAATCAAAGAGCACATACGAAGAAGACAAAACAAGAGTCTCTTCACAATCTACTGAAGACAACACGGTTCCATATTTTCCAAGGAAACTTTTTTTAGATAAAGATGTGTGATATAAGAGGCTAAATTAGGGAACATGAATTTGCTTAGGTCCTGCTTAGAATAGTTTGGGACCTTTATCCAGCCTTGACACAGGGAATTAATGGTAGTTATGCTGATGATAGTGCTGATGCTATTTCAGATAACAATTGATAAAAGGCTTAAAGGCCAAAACTACTCAGTTGGAGTTTTGTTTTGCTTTGTTTTCAGCGGTGCTAAGCAGTTAGTGCAGGGAGGTTTGTGTGTGCACATGCACTGATAAACCTGGCCTTGTCTTAGGTTTTGCCTAGCATGCCTTCCAAGACTTCCAATTGTTTGTTTCTATATTTACGTATATTTTTGCAAGGAATCTGTCATAATTTTTTGGCCTACCTCTCAACTCCGACTCCTAGATGATGGCTTTGGTCATTTTTTGTTTTTCCTCTTCTTTTCCATAACAAGCCTCGGCCAGCAGATGGCACTGCAGGAAGGGGGCCGATCACTGCACACAGGTAATGGCATTTCAACCTGGGTAGACGCTTTCTGGGTAGAGACCTTTCGCACCGGCACTGAAAAGCTAGTCCAGTTGTATGCAACTAAGGGTTTCATTTTACAAAATGGAATCATGGGCTTTCTCTGCTCCACCCCACCCCCACCATTAAACTGATCACCTCTTTCTTAGGTCGCAAAAGTGTCATGAGAAGCGCTATCCAGTGATCACTGATTTCTGGTTAAATTGGCCGAGTTGACCCCAGCATTGACTAAATACTGGAGGAAACGAACTGGCCTGATAGTTTCAAGAAAAATCCACACCAACAGGCAATTACCTGAATTTTCCCCAATGAACTGGAGCTTTAAGAGCTGAAATACGCGACTTGTTTTTGTCATCATACTCCTTACTTCAGTTCGAAAGTTTCGATACGGCCCACCTGCCCAGAATTCCCTAGAGAGTAAGGAAGCGGCACAGCAAGGGCAGTCCTGGGGGCCCCGGGGGTCACCTCTTAACCTCCAGTGTCAGACTTAAGTGGGGAGGAGGTGTGCTCGCGCGCGCGCACACACACCTAAAGCCTTTACCTTTTCAAAAAAATGCAAGTAGGTGAAGTTATGCTCCAGCACTAATTCCGCAGGTACGCTCCCTCCCCCCCCCGCCCCCTCCAAAAGCCTGGGTTACTAAGGCTCCCGAGGCCGCCTTCCCTACAAGCTCTTCTCTTTCC